TGTAGTGTACTTACTGTTTTACTTGAATTCACCCTCAGGTATTTAAGCAAATGTGAGAAAAGGCAAAGCTGGATAAGGAGGTAGGGGCTGACAAGGAGGTTGAGATCTGCTTATGAGCCACATATACAATGTGGTACAGCTGTGGGAGTGGCGCGATGTGGCCCGGAAACCAGCTGAACGGAATGTGAAGTCTCAGGAATATGCACAGAGGAACGCCTTGGTTTATGAGCTGCTTTTGCTTTGGCAGGCATTTAATTCTTGGCATCAAAATAATGTCAGAGCAGGCAATTTAAAAGCTCCAGTGTCAGATGGGACATAACCCACATTGTCTTCCCTGCAGTTAAGGAAGTTACATGGATTTGCAAGAAAGTTTCTACTTCTTCAGAAACACAGAAATATAACAATTTGATGAGTGCCTTTCAGTGTCACATTAGATCGGATGTAGAGATGGTAGTGCCCAAGAGATGATTACAAATAGAATCCTCCATTGAGCATTCCCTTTGGTTACTATTTAAAAATTTTTTTTCTTCTTTGTCATTTATACAAATTCACAAGTGAAGAAAACACAGATTACTAATATTTTTGTTTTCGAAAGGGCTACTGTGTGGTAGAGTAACTTGTGATACGTAAAACTATCTTCTGAATGTTGGGCAACAGGTCATTGTATTTAATGTTTAAAATTTGAAAAGTGATCTAAATAAGAGTACTGCAAATTCATTACTAAAATGAGAATATGCCTAGTTTAGTGGTCCATGTCATGATTCTAAACGCAGACTCTCTGCAATAAGGTGAATTTTACTTATTAGTAAATAAGCATAAGTTCATAAGTTAGGCATATCTTAAACTTCTCAGCCAGAAATCACTTTCTTTAAAGGCAAAGTTTGTGTTTGCTGTGTTGCATCTCAGAATACACAGTGCCTTGTATATTATGTTAGTTTAAACTTTTTTATATTAGTGAAAAAAATGTTTATGAATTGATCAAGCGCATAGGCCCTTAGTCAATGCTTATTGAACCAAACGTTTCATATCTAATTTTTTGAGAGGTATGAATTTTTTTTCTGCGACTGTAGACATGGTTGAAAGAGCAAATCCATGACTTACTTAAAATTTTTCATTAACTACCTGTAACTTCTAGAATAACACCTCAAATCATTCCCTTAACATATGATGCCCTCTGGATTAGACTCTGCTTCCCTGAGCCTGGCCCCTCAAAATGCATCCTAGGACTTGATCGTACATCTGCCTCCTGGCTGTCTGAAGACACTTCTTTGTCCTTTTTGGGCAACTTCAATGTGCTCTCAAAGGCTCCCCATACTTACTCTTTTGAGAGCAGAGGCAGTAGTTTTCTATCTCTATGTTTATGACAGAGCAGGTGCTGATCTATAATGGGTGATCAGTAAATGTTTGTTGAGTTGAATGAATGTGTATGCAGGACTGGAAATTCTTTACATAATATTGTGTGCATCACTGAATTGCTTGATATTTGAAAAATGCAGACGTATTTGTCATTTGAGATTACTTAAAATATCTGACACTTCAACAGACTAGCTCTAATATTTTGAAAAAGTAATGCTCTTTGAAAGAGACTTGTCTCTGAGGGTCTGCAAGGCTCCATGACTTACCTATCATATATCAGCTCTATAATGACACTACCATCAGAACAAAGTGCAAATAACATTATTAAAAAGATCCTTTCGGTTAACAAAGTGGCGAGATATTTGACTGGCCTCATCATGTTAGTAATCAAATTTTTCTTAATGTGCAATAATGAAAAATGCTGAGAGTGGTTAAATGTTTGAGCACATCCCCCAGATTGGTAGAAGAGGAGCAGGATTTTGTTACAAGCTGATGGGTCACCAGTTTGTGAAAGGCGATTTTACAGCTTTAATAATCTCATGGTATAAGGATTGTGTTTGAGATTATTATTTCCTGCAATTGTCTTCTAAAGAATGCTTTTTAAAATTCAGGATATATACATTATTGCAATTTGTGCTTAAGTGTACCATAAAATAAGCCAAGACATAACAACAATAAGGAAAATTGGCCAGGAAATGTACTGTGGAACTAAGAATAAAAAAGCAAAAGAGAATTAGTTAACTATAAGAATTGAGCTAAACGAGTGTTTTAAAAATAACACAATGGAGTTATTATTTAATTAAATTTTCTTCAGAATAATCTTCCTAGTTAGAATAGTTTTTACCAGAAAGAAAGAAGGCAGACAGTTTTTTCAATATAGATATCTTCTGATAAATTTCTAAGGAAACATTAGGAAGAAATGATGGCAGTTTAGCATGATTATGTTGATCTGCAATTGTATTATTTTCACAGAGATTGTAATATTCTCTTTGATACCATATTGACACATTCAGTATTCAGCAGCTAAAAAAAAGTGAATGGTCAGGGTAGTATTTGTCCATCTGTCTGGGAATACAAAGATTGAGGGCAGATGAATAGAAACAACCTAACTCATTATAAGATAACAATAAAGGAAATAAAGACAAAAAGAAAAAATCTGGTTTTAGCTGAAAAAAACTTGATGTTAAATTTAAAATATGTGATTATCTTCTCATTATATTTTCTATCTTCCAACTAATAGTTATTGCTGAGGAAAACAAAGTTTTGAGTTGCATAAAGGGCTGCTATATAAAAATATATAAAATATAGTGCATACTTTGAAGGTCTCATTCAGGAGGTAAAACAAGATGAAAAGAACTCCATGGAGTAATTAATAACTAACATATGCTTAGTAACTGAAAGTTTGGAAAGTAGTTTTATATACCATTTTGTAAGTTTAAAAACTAAATTTCTAGATTTCATTCTTCTATTGGTGTTTCCTTTGGCTTTACCTGTGGAAGACAGGATTAATTCTAGGATTGGGATTACTTTTAGCTTTACTTCAGTTTACTTTGCCTTTCTTATGGGTCCTATTCTCTGATCCTTCCAATTCTTTCATGAGCCAATATTTCAACACCATCTCAATGGGATATTATCCTCTGAATCTGTGATTTTCCTTAATTTTCCAGCTGCTCAAGTATATGATTTATAATGGAAATAATACAGACCCTGAGAGTGCTAGGCTGGAACAGATTGTAAATGTTTTATGTTGTTGTCAGATCTTGTGACTTGACTTCTGGTTAAGAAACTATGGTTACGTTATTGATTTGTGCCCCCCTACTCCTTCACTCACTCACTAAAACCTTTAAGTGACTTTAGCTCTTCTGCTATATATATACTGAATATATATATATTCTGAAATTATACTTCCAAAGGTAACCTTATTGTCAAATCTAGTGGTCTTTTCCCCCACTTTTGTTTTCCTTAACCTCTATTCAGTTCTATTCATTGGCCTTTTGTGAAATGTCTAGGATTCTAAGACTTAGGAATTTAGTTCTCTTCTAATATACTATATTATTCTTTGTCTCCTTTCATAAATGTTCTCTTGACTCCCACTAGCCTCCTTCTTCCAAATCAGCAATTGTTTACTTTCTTATGGGTGGCTGGAGCCACAATTTGTTTAAGGCTCAGGAATATTCTTTTGGCATTTTTGCATATCCACCTCCAGTCTGTACTTCTAGGACTCCTCCAGGCTGAAATTATTGCCTTCTCGTAAGCTTTAGTTCAATTTATACCTCATTCATTAAGCATGACTTACCCATAGTAATTTATTTTCCTTTAAATTCTCAGGCATTTGACCCTCCCTACCTCATACTGTTAACAAACTGTGTTAATGTGTCACATCCTAGTTAGAATGCAAAATCTTTGAGGATAAGGGCTGTACTTCAGCTATTGTTATTTTGCGGGGTAGAGGGAGTGCGATGGTGGGGTTTGCTTGGTAGGGGACAATGAACATAATACTCAAATATTTGTTGATTGAAAAAAGCACAATATATTCTAAGGTTTCTACACAACACAGCCAACATGTACAACTTGTTAAGTTTGCATATTAAATGATTTATCTGTTCTTCTTTTTGGCTTCTGTTTGTGAACGAGAATTTGTCTTATAAAGGTACCACCTGCAACGATTTTAGATGTCATAAAGGCATTAAAAGATGGCAAAAGCAGGCCTACAGGAGATAGCAGAAACGGCTATTTACAAGGCTGCTACAATGTGGCAAACACTGGGCTTTGCATTGTACAGATTTTTTTTTTTTTCTCCAAAAGACTCAAACTGAAGTCCAGGGAGGTTAGTTGATTTATCCAAGCGTTCCACAAGACGTAAATGGCTGTGCTGAGTTTCTGAAACCTAGGTCTGCCTGGTTTCAAAGGGCAAGGCAGTTTTAGTATTGGATTGTTAGAAGTGTATGACTTTTTTTTTTTTTAAAGCTCTAGGTACAGTAGTTGGGATTCAACAAATGTTGCTATGTGGGGATTGGGTACACTTAAACGAGAGGAAAAAAGCTGGCTGAATTAATTATACTTGTGTCTAGCCCTAAGAAAGGCTGTTTGATTACAATAATCCTATGCCCTTCATACTGAGGATAGAAAAAGAAAAATGCCTGGCAATATTTCAAAACATGAATACTCCCCTCCTTACATCATGTACCAAATTATACTTCTAAAAGAGAAAAGGGATTTAAAGTTTTAAGCTGACAGAAACTAAAGTAAACCAATAATTTATTCCTGTAAAACGGAATTTATTTCGTGCTTCGTGTGTGTGTGTATGTGGGTGTGTTTAAAGAATCGCTTCTTATTCGCAAGGAACTTTACAAGGTAAACTGCTTGGGCCCGGTAGCATCTGGGCCTCCGAAGGTGGAAAGCAAGCGGGTCGCGCTCGCGCTCTCTTCTCTCTCTCTTTCGCCGCCTCTTTTCTTTTAGGTACCCCAGAGCCTGCTGTTCCGCCACACCATACTGCCGCCTTGGAAAGTGGGGCAACCCAGGCTTACTTAGCTTATCTGCAAAAATTCTTTGTGTTCATCGGAGGCGACAAACCGTACAAAAACGCCCTCCCAGCTGTAGCAAACGAGCGCGGAGGCCTAACCGCAGTTCCGGCGGCTTCCTCCTCCATCCGCTCGCCGCACCTGGACGCTGACGGCTCCCGACACCCGGCCGTGACGTCACCGCACCTGGCACAAGCCCGGGGCCGGGTGGTGAGCCTGCACACAGCGGAGCGGGAGGGACTGGAGGAGAGAGAGGGGATTCTCGCGAGATTTGCCTCGTCCCAGGCCCAGCTCCCGACACCTTCCCAGCCTCTCTCCCAGTTTCCACCTCAGCCTTTGGCGTCGCATTCTGGAACGGCAGGCGTCGAAGAAGAGGCGAGGGGCGGGTCCTTGGGCTCCGCGGACGCTCTGGGTTGGAGCCAGCGGCCTAGACGAAACAGCAGGTCTCATCCCCGTGCGGGAGCGACCCTGGGTGGGAAAGCGGCTGTCTGGGCGGGCGGAGGACGGCCTTCCCACCACCAGGGTTTCGGCGGAGGCCAGGATCGTGTAGCCGCCACCGCCTCTTTCTGAAGGGCCGTACTGACGGCACTGTCCGAGGAGCACCGCGTGCAGATGGAGGTACCTCCTCGCCCTGCCTGAGCGCTGGAGGGGCAAGAGCAAGGCGCAGGGCCCGCCTCCCGCCGCCAGAGCGGCGGCGCGAGCAGCTGGAGGAGGAGCGGCGGCGCCGGGCTTCTCCCTGCGGGGGCCCCCAGCATGGGTAAGTGACTCGGGGGGCGCTTCCCACCGTCCGGCAGACCCTCCCGCCTCGAGAAGTCGGTTCCTCTGCTCGGTCTCCGCGGGGAAGCGGCAGGGTAGGAGGGACAGCCTCTCCGCGGCAACTTAGAACCCTCCTCTCCTCCACTCTCCGTCCCGCCTTCCACCTTGCTCTCTTCGCGGAGAAATTCTTCGGAGGGCTCGCGGGGCTGCCTCTCGCGCTCCCCTCCCGCCTTTTTCCAGCTCTCGGGAAAGGTGAAGGAGTGGGGGATGGGGACGGCGGTCACCTCTCCTCTCCCAGTACTGGCTGAGCTCAGCCCCGGGCTTCCCTCTGGTCCCCAGTCCCTTCTCTCCCCAATGTGGGAGGGTGATTGAAAAATTTGACCAAGTAGCGCTTTCCACTTCTTTATCTTCTGCGAGGCATTGTATAGATTCCCTTTCAAAGAAGTTTTGTTGTTTGAAAAGGCAATCTCCCCCCTCCACCGCCCCCTCGCTAAAACTTGCAAGGGATGCCTCAAGGACAGGGAAGCTTGAGTATTTACTCCGTTTCTACCTAGGCAAGTATGCTGGCATTTAAATATTAAATCTCTGAGGACTGGGTTGGGGTTTGGTAGGATTAATGTGTTGAGCCCTTTGAGAAGCAGTTTCCTGTTGGAGTTTGACTTCCTTGCTAGAGGAGGGAAAAAGTACAAGGCCTTATATGTTATTTACTATTTCTATAAAGTTTTGTTTGGATCTAGGGAAAGCAGTATGCGGTGCAGCCTGCTTTGAAAGGGAGTTTTGTTGAGCAGTGTAACAATGCTATTGATAACAAAGTGTCGGGCTGGGCTAGGCACTATTCTCTCAATTCTTTAAAAATTAAAAGCAATTTAAAAAGGAACTGCTTTTATTTTTCTTTTAAAAATGTGTCACCTTAAAGCATAAATTTCAGTCACATAAGGCATAAGCATGTTCTTTCAAGAGTACTCTTTTGATTTTGTTTTTTGTAAAATAGGAGGATGCAATCATTTTTGCTGTTGAGGAGAGTTGGTACTGTTTCATGCCAACAAACTATTATCTGAAATTAGTAATTTATGAGACTAACAAATGATTAGAAGCAGGACAGATATAAAATACTGCTGATGTGGCACCTTCTGCCCACACATTGTTTTGTGGGAATTGCTTTAAGCATAGTGTTTTTAGACACTCGCCCTCCTCTTCTGTGTTTTTCTAATCTTTCTACTTTTATGTTCCTCCACCTCCCTCTAGCTTTCAGGTAACTTTGGTACACAAAGTGCTTCTAAACTCAGAAACAGTAAAACCTTTGGTATTTGGGACTTTCAGATGAATTCCTTTCTAATTGGTTGAGCTTACTGGATAATTGAGGGTTTATTCCTGAAGCATCAAATTATAAAACCACTTTAATCGCTTTGAATGAAGTTCATACTAAAATCAAATATGTATCTTTTTTCTGTCTTGAATGCAGAATATAATTAAACTTCTTGATGACCTAGGGTCAAAATAATTTTAGATGTATCAGGTACTGTGTGAGATGCCTTGAGTATCTGTTCATTGTATATAGGACAGTTGATCAGATTTCTTTGCATTTTGAAGTTAAAGTACTTTTCTGCTTTGCTGTTGGATGTGCTCATCACTGAGATCAGTGTTCCCCTTCACCAACTCTGTTCTCATTTATCTACAGGTGTGGAAGTCATACTCCTATTTGTAGTTCTGTATTACGGAAAAATAAAGTAGACCCTTATGTACTGTGTGAGATCCTCTTTTGAGAAAAATAAAAGAATATCAATACTTGGACATTGGAGTATCTATTTTGATTGTTCGGAGGCCTTTCCTTAGTGACCTTTTCCCTCTGTCCTGGGTAGGTGAGCTGCCAGATTATTTTGGTAAAGTGGGATGGTTGTGTACTCTCACCTTGTCTACCCAGAATGTGTTTTGAATGCTGATTCTTTGGGGCATTTGTAGTTAATTTTTGAGGGGTATTTGTCAGACATTTCCATATGAATGTATACTTCAGATTTATTGGCCATGTAATAATTCATATTAAAATCATTTAAGGGAGTTTCCTCTTATAATAGAAAACTCATTTGCTTGGTTTTGTTATCAGTCTTTATTTCTTATGATTTAAGATGACAGCTTAAAATGTTTTTAAATGGTATTTTATCTGACTTGTCACAACATGAAAAACCTTCAATTTCTTTGTTTTAAAATAATTTGTATACATATTAAAGTGATGCGTCCTACATTTAGGTGGTACAGTTAGACAGTTAAGAGCATGGGTTCTGAACTGGGACAGCTTAAGGTAAATCCCAGCTCTTTGACCTACTAGCTGTTGTGACTAAGTTACTTAACCTCTCTGTTCTAACCTCATAGGTGGTTAGGAGAGTTGAATAAACTAATACTTGTACAGTGCTTAGAATAGGGCCGAGTGCTGGTTGCTGTTATTTTCATTTTCAAATGATTTCCTTAATTCTTGTACCAACTTGAAAAAAACAATTCTCACTTTCTGATCTTGGTTAGATGCAGCATATTATCCGTAAAGGACCAGTGGGGCTTTGACTGGTGTGGCTCAGTTGGTTGGGCAGCCTACTGCAAGGTGGAAGGTTGCCAGTTTGATTCCCAGTCAGGGCATGTGCCTTGGTTGCGGTTAGTCCTCTGGTCTGGGTGCACATGCAAGAGGCAGCTGATTGATGTTTCTCTCACACATCTGTGTTTCTCTCCTTCCCTTCCTCTCTCTCTCTAAAAATAAATAAGTAAAATCCTTTTTTTAAAAAAATGAAGGACCGGTAAGATGAGAGTGTTTAGTACTAATGCAGAAATTGAATTTTATATATTGTATCATTACAAAAATAGTGTAGAAAGATACTTTCAATATTAGGAATACTGTGAGACAGTCCAGTATTGGTAGTAGGTTTAGTGGTTTAGGAAAATCTAAGTAGGATGAGTAATATTACAGCCTTATATGTATCAATATTTTATGTTAAACTAAAGCCCTGTTGTAAGTTTCTACAATCATAAAGTTTTTCACTAAGAAACTTGAGGCATTATGTGAGAAACGATTTGGGAAGAGCTTTAAAGAGATAGAAAGGCAGTACTTATTTTTCTTATTTCAAAAGTACAGATCTACCTGTTGGAGTGGAATAAGATAGAAAGCAAATGGCACAAAGTGGGGAATTTTATTTTTTAACAAGTAAGTGGATTTTAAGGACTGAATCTCTTAACTTTAGATGAGGTTATGAACTTTTTAATTTAACCTCTAAGCTCATGTGTATCACAAGCCAACGTATTTAAATTATGAGGTAGTTATGTTGTTGTTTTTTTTTTTTAAGATTTCATTTATTTATTTTTAGAAAGAGGGAAAGGGAAGGGAGAAAGAGAGGGAGAAAAACATTGACATCAATGAGTGAGAGAAGCAATTGGTTGCCTCTCGCACACCCTCAACGTGCGACCTGGCCCACAACCCAAGCATGAGCCCGGAATTGAACCAGCAATCTTTCGGCTCACAGGCAGGTACTCAATCCACTGAGCCACACCAGCCAGGGCTAATTATGAGGTAGATTTAATGGACAACAAGTATGAAGTTGGTTTAGAAATGATAAATGCACTTAACAGTATTTAATAGAGTGATTTATTTCTTTATTCTACTTTGTTGCCTTGTTTGGAGGAAATCTTGATTCATACAGATAAGTAGCAGCAAATAGAAATTGCCTGTTACTAGCTCACCTTTCAAAGAATTTACATCAGCTAAACTAGTCCAGAGCATGAAAGAGGAATATTAGGAAATTTTTGTTTCAAAGTTGGATTTTTAGCAAATCTAATGATCAGTTTTATTCCTTGATTAGTAAGCCCTTAGGATCAGATTTTTTTCTAAAGTATTTCAAACTTTAAATAGTTATAATTCCACAAAATGATATTAAGGGTTAAAATTCACATTTATAATACTTTATATTTTCCTGCAGAAACTAGACTAAAGTCTGCCATCTATCTCTCCAAATAAGAGGTTTGCAAAGTATAGTGATGTCGTATTTACTTAATAATATATGAATTTTAAAGCATTTAATATAAAAAGTTACCAAACATGAAATGCTTTTAGTTCATTTCCTATTGCCAGTCAAAAGTACCTCCAAATTTTTATTGATACATAATCCAAATTTGTGATTTTTTTCCTTCCCTTCTTAATCATATAATATCCTCTCCTATTAAATGTATTTTGTGTGATAAATGTTTAATTTTTTAATGTTTAGGAAGAAGTGGTGTCATGTCCAGGGCCTGAAGATAGGCAAAAAAAGAGCTGTAATGATTCTTGATTTGGATGAAAATAGGACAGGTGCTGATCTTTCTAGGTAAACTGGTGAAGCAAGTTGTGAGAGATCTGAAAGTTTGTGCTCAGAAAATAAACGGTGAATAAAATTAATATGTAGTTGAGATTTAGGTAAGTTGGGTAATAATCATTGAGGTTTGACTTGCTTAGTTGTAGGATTTGATATCCAGCTACTAGGCAAATTGACCTAAGGCTGGATTTACGTCTTTCTAGATGGCGGAGAGGCCGGAAGACTGGTGGAGAAATTGGGTGGGGGTTCATCCATATATGCCTATAGTCAGCCTGTCAGTATGAGGGATGTGTGTAGCCAAAGGCAGTGCGTGGACAGATAGGTGGAGCAGGCCACTGTGGTGTTTGTGGAGTGGGATGGTGGTTGGTAGCAGGCAGTAGGCAGCAGTTTGGATTGGCATCTTGTGGGTAAGGGAAGTGGGGTTTGGCTGTAGTCCTTGAAGACCTAGCCACGGGAAGGGAAACCGGACAGGGGCCAAGTTTCTTATGAGAGATACGAGGTGGATATTTGTTTCCAGGATGAGCTTGGTTATTGAAATTGTTTAAGATGAGCCAAGCAGTAAAACTGACAAGATGATGGGCTCCTAAGCTGTTGGGGTGTCCAGCCTTTTGGTGTGTCTGTGCCATCCTGGAAGAAGAGTTGTCTTGGACCACACATTAAATACATTGCGATGCGT